CGCACGCACGCACGCACTCACTCACTCACTCACTCACTCCCTCACTCACACTCACCCACCCACCCACCCACCCCCGCACTCACTCACTCACTCACTCACTCACTCACTCGCTCGCTCGCTCGCTCACTCACTCACTCACCCACCCACCCACGCACTCACTCACTCACTCACTCACTCTCTCACTCACCCACCCACCCACCCACCCACGCACTCACCCACCCACCCACCCACCCACGCACTCACGCACGCACGCACTCACTCACTCACTCACCCACCCACGCACGCACGCACTCATGCGCGCGCACATGTGCAGCCAATACTACCCACACACACACACATCCACACCCCATGTTTGCAAGTGACACGAGCTGGATGCAACAAGGTCCTGGAAGTGGACCACAGGGATTCATTGAGCAATGCTGACAAATGAAGCATGAAGACCTTCAAGGGCTTGACACTTGCAAGGTGGGAAGGCCTTTGGGATTCTGAAGCTGCTTGAGACGAGTGAGTGAGTGAGTGAGTGAGTGAGTGAGTGAGTGAGTGAGTGAGTGAGTGAGTGAGTGAGTGAGTGAGTGAGTGAGTGAGTGAGTGAGTGAGTGCGTGCGTGCGTGCGTGCGTGCGTGCGTGGCTGGGTGAGTGAGTGAGTGAGTGAGTGGGTGGGTGGGTGGGTGGGTGGGTGGGTGGGTGTGTGCAGGTGTGTTCTTTGGGGTTTGGGCAAAGGTTATCTTTTGTTGGACGCGTCGTATCGTCGTTTAGGACATGCTGATGAAATCAGCTTCTATCAATATGGCCTTTTGCGTCTCGATAAGGTCCACAATCGTGCACCTACAATGCCTACCAGGCTGTGACACAAGGCCCCAGACTGTGCCCACATCGTCACTGCGCAACAAATCTGCTAGTGCGCTGATTCGCAACCTTCCCATGATGCACCATACGTCAAAAGCCGTCATGAGTCATGCATCCTAACATGAGGGTGTTCGATACCCTTCTTAGAACATAGACCTTGGTCCGGTGCCAGAACCGCTGCGCGCCTTGCTGCTCTGCGGTGCTACCGCATGCGAGCGCTGCCAGAACCGCCGCATGGAGCGGAGAAACTCCAGCGCTGCGTCGTGTCCTGAGGTCCAGGGCTCCCATTCCCACGCTGGCAGGGACATGAGGTGCGCAAACGCGCAAACGCTACGTACAGTAACCTTTAACATGGTGCAAAGCCCGCGCTGACCCGTGCCATTGCGTGAATGTTATCAAAAGTGATCTTAGGATGAAACTTGGCAACTGGTTGTCCCAGCTCAGCTGCCTGATTCTTTTGCAGGCGATGCACCATGCTCCAAATACCTCTTTTGAGCTTAGCAACCCTTGTGCCGCACTGATTGAGGGTAGGACATTTGTCGGTAGCCAGAGATTGCTACAAACCCAGCTCGTGCCTTGCCAAGAGGCCCTTGGCAAGTCTCAACGCACTCGTTGCAGATCCTGGCGGGTCAGCGATCTGAAACCGCCAAGCACCAGTATTGTGTGCTCGCGATACGGCCTTTTCAGGTGCGCATATGCCACCAGCATAAGCTTGTAAGGCAGTATGTACCCCAAATATATAAGTGGTGTATAAGCTCCATACCCTCCGTAGCCCATACCAGGAAATGAGAACCATAGCAGTGACTAACACAAAGAGTAGTTGCCGAAACCTTGCTCGATGCTCTCTCGCTCGCTCGCTCGCTCTGCAGTTTGCCTTCGTCTTTCTGCGCACTTGAAGAAATCACTTGCATTCCTCCTGGACCCCTCGCCCATAAGTCTGCTAAGCATGCCGAATGACAAACAAATAAATTGAGTCCATTAAATGTGCCGCCTAATCAATGCCGACAGCCAACAAACACACCCTGTTGCTCCACTAAGAAAAAGCCTCTGCAACCAGCCAAACTTTACAGTTAGCAACCAGAGTCAGGTAACTGTCAAAGAGCTGCGACGTTCTCCTGCAAACACAGCATCTGGCAGCACGCTGCTGTCCAACATCAGCTCCAGGATCGCACCAGCTACCTGGCCGCCAGGAATGGCGCGGGGCGCGAAAGCTATCGTTGTGTGTGTGTGTGTCACTGCCTGTCCATTTACCTGCTTGTTGATTTATTGATGTTTCTATCTGCCCATCTGCTTTCCTGTTCATCCATGCATCTATGTGCGCTTCTGTTTATCTACCTGTCTATCTGTCTACGCGTTTCTCGAATCGACGCAGCTGTACATCTATCCACCTATCAGTTCACTTATCTGCCTACCTGCCCGCCTGTCTACTTACTCTAAGCAAGAAAATCTAACCTGTCTATCTGTTCTAATCGAACCTGGTCTAATCTAATCTATCCGTCTGTCCGTCTAAACAAAAGTTACCTACAACCCTGTCATTCTCGCCTACCTAACCCAACCCAGCTGAATCTAATCTGTCTGATCTATTTCTCTATCACTCTCTCACTATCTTTCCATCTTTTTATGTGTCTACCAATCTCTCCTATCTATCTACTCAGCTATCTCTCTATCTCTCTACCCCGTCTATCCACCTGTCTATCTACCTACCTACCTATCTTTCGATCTATCCCTCTCTCTCTTTGTACTACCAACCTACCAAACTCATCTATCAACTTCATCTAACTATCTCTCGCTCTCTCATCCTCCGTCTACCAATCTCTGCCATTTATCTATGTATCTAATGCAATCTAAACTAGCCTTACCTAATTGGTCTACCTAATCTGATCTAACCTACCCTTCTTTCTACCTAACCGAATCTAATCCAACCAGTCCATCCATTTATATCTGTCCATCTAAGCTGTCTGTCTGTCTGTCTGTTCATCTGTATATCGTTAACTAGATATCTATCTATTTAAATGTTTAACTTATTAACTGCCTGTCCATCATTAATCTACCTATCGCTGTACCTCTCCATGTCCTATCTCTCTATCTATCTCTCTATCTACCTCTCTATCTTTCTATCTACCTGTTTTATGTGTAGACCTATGTATCTACCCATTTATCCTCCTTTCTTTCTTTCTTTCTTTCTTTCTTTCTTTCTTTCTTTCTTTCTTTCTTTCTTTCTTTCTTTCATCTGTGTATGTGCCGTTCTGTCTATCTCTCTCTGACTTTCTATCTATCTGTCTGTCTAGCACTTCAACTTTTGCCACCTGCGAGCGCTTGCGGGCGTTTGCGAGTGCTTGGGCGCTTGCGGACACAGCGAATCTGGCGGACACGTGCCGACCCCCAGACACGTTTCTACAACGGGAACCCTTCTGCTATGCATTCGGGAAAACACGTGGCCCCGTCAACACAACTTGCACCTTAGTAGGCCGCCACACAAACCAAGCTTGACACTGTTCATTGCCATTCCTCGCCTGCCACGCGCCAGCCTTTTCGCACGCCACCATGGCTGAGTTGAAGCTGATATCCTCGACACGTTGGAGGCTCATGGTTCGACACAGAAAGGTGCAAACATGGCGTTGACATATACTGCATCACATGTTTTTTTGCTCCTCGGGGGCAGGGGCACAGGGCGCTTTTCAACCGTGTTGTTTCCTGGCTTCACCGTCAAAACACGTCAGTTCACCCAAATTTCTCGCAGGAGTCAGGGCCACCGCCATCCACCCACGTTGGATAGCAACTGAGCTTCATCTGGAAGCAACCGCCGCAGGCCCATGCCGGACAGCAAGTGCAGGGCTAGCGGCCATTGGCCACCTGCGTGACTGAAAGCCAAGATCTGCTGATTCCTTTGGACCGGACAAACTTAGGAAGAAGAAACGCTACAAAAACAAACCACGAGTAAACGCACAGCCCATCCTAAGCAGCACCAAAGACAAAAACATGTCCACCACAAGAGCTGAACTTCGCGCCTTTTTCGCAGGCACTGACCATGGCGTTGTAGCTGATCAAATCTGGTGTGATGTGTTGCGCTGGCATCCTGCGAAGCACAAGCGTGATATGGCATGCGGCTTTCGTCTGCGGCGGCAAATCCTTATTTCCTCTTGCCGATATAGAGCCGCATCACATTTGCATGACTACGGGCTTGGACTCTCGATCTATTCAGAAAAGAAAGAAAAGCAACCTTGGACTCTGACTGACTTTCAGCTTCGACATCAACAGGAAAAGCTGTGACTATCTAAAAACAATCAGGGACACTTGATGGAGACAGGACGGCTCAAAGCACGAAGGCTTCTCCTTGCAAGGCGTCCGTTTTTAGCTGGTCCTTGTAAGTAGGCGAGGATACAAGGACCTGCCATAAACATGACTTGCTTTGTCCGCTTTCCCTTCAGGGACCGAACAAAATGTAACCAGCCCCTGACCACATTGGGGGCAACCCTCTTCCTCGATTGCATCATGGCAAGCAGGCTGCTTGGCTCCTGTTGAAGAGGTGCAAGGCACGCTGCCACTGCCAGCCCTTCTCGCAAGCACTGATGGCAGCATTGAAGCTGATGATGTTTGGGTGCGCAGCTGCCTGCCCCAATCCCCATTTCTTGACGAGCCTTTTTCATGGCGAACATTTGTGCCGCGATCTCCACGCACGCTCCGATGAAACCTTGCCCTCGGGGAAGACTTTTTCGGCAAAGCCCTGGGGACTAGATGAGTCTTGGGCACTCCTTACATCCAGACCTCTAAAAGCGATATGCTAACTTTTGAATGTGGCAACACTCTTGCCTACTTGATTGGGGATTGGCCCACGTTGATTTGGGAAGGGTACTTGCTGGGCACTCCGCGGGGTATGATTTGTAGCCTTGCCAGACCACCAGCTTGCATGAAGAAGTCAATAGTTTTCACAAAGAAACTGTGTCCAGTCGTCAGTCAACCTTGGATGCTGATTGCCTTGGCTTAACCGGATGCAACAACATGAGTTCAAGGCAGCTGCATGGAGGCAAAGCCTTGAGGCCGGATTCATCGCGTGCTGTCTGGCGCAGTGATGCTACGGTGAAAATCCATGTCACGAATCGAACCGTTTATCGAGTCCTTGCTAGAGACAACACCTGCGCGCTCTGGCAGTCCACATGTTGCTGGCCGAGGTCGAAAAGTCAGGTCAGACATCGAACAGTCGAACAGTCGATTAAAAATCCGACAAGTTGAAAAGCCGGGGGCTCTGGAAAAAACATTGAAATTTAGACCTCTTGGGGGTGCTCCACCAACCCGAACCAGCCCAAAAAGTCTCGGTTCAATCTTGGCACTCTTAGCCACATTGTAGCATGTGTTTGAAACATGTTTTAAGACAATTTACCATGATTTTAGCATTCCAAGAACGGAACATGCTGCATACAGTGTTTTTTCGTCAAACGCATGATGGCAAATCATATTTTTCTGTGGAGTTATAAAAAGATATGAACATTCTGAACCTAGAAATTCTGAATTGCTAAGTAATGAATATTCAGCATGCTCAAATGTCTTCAGCACATTCTGAATTCAGAAACTCGTGGATTTGAGCAAACATAATGACAAACATGTTGAACCTCTGTGTTTTCCCAGATAAGTCTGAATTCAGAAGTCTGACTTTTTTAGGTGACAAACGTAATTGCGATTCGGAATTTTGAATCTGTTCAGAGCACTCAACATATAATTGTTTTCCAATTAAAACAAGATATGATATTTCAGTAGATTTTCTGAAACAAAGTTAGGAAGATTCAATGCACAGAATACTAGTCAGAACTTTGAATTGCGCACAACGTAAATCACATATATATATATATATATAGAGTGCTCTTCATTGTATGATATTGATTAATTACACAAATACTACTATCTATATGTATATACGTATATGTATATATAAATGTATATATATATGGTTTTCAGGGGTCCAAACAAATTGTTCCCTGGGGAGCTTCAAACAATTTCCTTTTTGGAGCGCCTATATACCCCCCTGAAGTGGAGTATATAAACAATTTCCATTTGGGAGGTCCTACCACCCTGAAGTGCATCGCATCTTTGATTTCTACGAGCAAATGCGAAATAAACAGGTGCTCAATTATGAATGAGCTGAGCCTACAGGAATCTCCAACTATCAACTAGTGGGTACTGCATCATAGGGCTGGAAGGATCAAACCCAAATACAACAAAATCAGTCCCACATGCAACGAAATAGCATTGACATCGAAAAGTCAAGTCATGGTCGAAGAATGAAAAGTCGAAAGTCGGCTCGAAATCTGAAAACTCGGATCCAAATCCAAAGTCAAGGTCAAAGTACGAATCGTCGAAGGCTTCATTTTGTGCCTGTGACCAGTAAATGGGTCAAACTATGTCGAAATGCCAACGTCTACCACTTTTTGACTTGCGAATTCGAAAACTAGACTTCTGCCTTAACCTGGCAAGGCTGCAGTGACAGCTTGGTTGGTTGGGGAGGGAGGGGGGTTCTGCAGGTCCATCTTGCTTCTCCCTGCTTTATCAGCACAAGATTCAAACAAGTGCTGAGTACTGGCCCTGGACTGTGGCCGTGCAGCGAAAAGGTCAGTGGGCCCGAACTCGAATTTTCCCGATGCCTTGGAATCGCCCGCCTCGGGCATGCAGCGAAACAGCTCCAAGGCGGTTTCCCACTGGCAGCCCTTCTCACAGGCAGTGATTGCAGCACTGAAGCCTCAAATGCTCTCCTCCAGCCTCTTAACGGCCTACCTCTGAAGGGCTCCTTCTTGAAGGGGAGCCAAAGACGCCCGGGCGATGCGCAATTCGGAATTACGCATCCTTGGCAGGATTTTGCTCGTTGTGAAGGAGGCAGGAAGACAGCGTCCATGGCTAAAGCCCAGAAGGCATGGCACACAGATTCTCACATTGTTCTTTCTTTGGTTTCGTCTGCAATCCCCAGAATGAATTCTTGCAGCATGCCCCTTGAAAACAGCCAAGCCGCTGACAGTATCTGGCCGAGAAGTTTCTCTAAGCTCTGATAGGGTTGCTAGCGCGGGTTCCCACTGGACACCGGAGACGTAGGCGCTGATCATGGAGTTGTACGTCATGGTGTCAGCCACCACGCCGTTGCCGGGCATGCTGCTCCTGAGGGCAAGACATGAAGCACAGCAATCCTGCGAAACGGTCACACGCATCTCCTGAGAAAAAGGTTTCTAGAAACCCAAGCAATCAGACTGGTCGTCAGGCCCGCGTCGGCGTTTGCCAGGACGTCAAGCTTGCACATACTCCAATGGCCGAGTCTCATGATGCTTCTGGCCAGCTGCCACTGATTGCCCGTGTCGCAGGCACTGATGGCGGCATTGAAGGAGAACACGTCAGGAAAGAGCTGGCCGTCCGGCATCTTAAATAGTAGGTCTGAGCGAATCAAGCGACTGCCGGAGTTTCATGCTTCATACAGCAGCTGCATCTGCTTGCTGTCAACTGCTTGTGACACATGAGTGCAATGGGCTCATGATGGAAACGCTCATGTACACAGTTGGACCAAAACAAGCGAGCATCTAACCTCTGGCCCGCTTCCAAGCCCCAGCCTAAGGCACATTCCCATTGGCTGCCGTTCTTGCATGCGCTCATCAAGGCATTGTAGCCTCAGCTCTCCAAACTGTCATTGAGCCTATGCAATGTGGCCAGAGGCATCCGTCTGAATTGTCAAGAGGAAGTGCACATCCAGCACTACATGCTTAAGGATGAAATGTGTGGTCTGCATTGTGAGGCCCTAGCTCGTCAGAGCACCCTCGAAAGTCCCTGTGAGGGCTGTTGACTGCAATGGGTAGGGGGGAACCCCACCCACTCTTTAGTTGATCTTGCGAAACCCCCGGCTTGCGTGTCACGCTTGCTGCTGGGGAGCAAACCAAGTCCAGTGGAACATCAGCAGCCTCACACTCGGGAGCGAAACCCTTGTTTTGGCTGACCAATTCGGGGGTTGGCAGCAGCTGTGTAGGGCATCAATGAGTGAGACACGGAACTTTGCTGCAAATCCATTCGAACACGTCCCACAACATCATGGACTACTTACCCCCCCTAAAGGGGTTAGGTGGGAAGAATGACCGTTTCACCAATGTCACAAAGCACAACCACGCCTTACTAAGGCCTCAGTAAGGCCTTCGACTCACCGAGGCCTCAGCAAGGCCTCAGTAGTGGATCAAGATTGCTGGAAACAGGCCATCTGCCGCATTTGATGTTCAGTTCCTGCTTTAAAATCAAGCATGGTTGTGGCTTGAGTTACATTGAAATAGTTTCTCATACTTGGCAGAAACAAGTTTCCCCGAGGCCAGGCAAAACTGGCTTTGAGGTGCTACCAGGTGCTAAGACGGCACGGGGCAGTTGGAGTATGGCCTCAGTAGCCTTAGTAGTCTCAAAAGGGGCGGAGCGCCGCTTGAGGGGGGGGGGGATAATTTTCCGTGCATATACCGACGCACCAAAAACGGTCCAATTGCCGCTCGCGCTGCTGTTCTTGTATGGCGTGCTGCATCCAGTGCTGGCAGCAGCAACCCTATCATCACATAACAAGCCTGCAGAAGGATCCTGCATGGTGCCTGGCATTTTCAGTCCGAGTAAAACATCATCATGAAACTATGTCTGCTAACACGTACATGTACTTAAATGAGGGCTTCGGATGCCAAGGTGAATCTGCTCCAATTCCTATCTGACATCTTTGCCACCGCATTTCTTTGCATGGCCTCCCGCAGCCTCCCTCAGCCTCCCTCCCTCAGCCTCCCTCCCTCCCTCCCTCCCTCCCTCCCTCCCTCCCTCCCTCCCTCCCTCCCTCCCTCCCTCCCTCCCTCCCTCCCTCCCTCTCTCCCTCCCTGTCCCTCTGAAAGTTCAAAGTTCAATGTCGTGGGTTCAATCCAGCCTAAACTCTTCCTCCGCCAATTGATTTCATCGCTACAGCACCGCTGTTGCCACGCTGGATTCGATTTGCAGTTCAAGGTCACAACGCCCCCTCCCCATAAACAAAATGACTGCTGCTTTCGAGGATGCGGACAGACAGGTGTCACATTAAACCAGGGATCCTTTTGGGCCGATTTCACATGGAACATCCAGCCGGCTGTTTGTTCCCCAAATGCTCAAAATGCAGGGGGGGTTGCTGATCCAAATCTGGGACCCCGTGCAAGAAACCACCACCGTCTGGCATTAGGATGAAGGATGGAACTTCATGCAATAGTCGACCAGATGATGCTACTTGTTCCGTGACAGGTGTTGATCATGCACATTAAGTGTAAACTCCCATGATAAATGTAAATGAATACAACAATATTTATATATATATGCATACATATATATATATATACGATTATATATACATGCGTGTGCAAATTTAGATATATATACGATTATATATACATGCGTGTGCAAATTTAGACATATGTGTATATATACATATATATCTATATATGTGTGCGTGCCTGTTCTAAATCAACATATTCAAGTTCTTCTTTTGTTCTACCGCAACTGGTGACGGATGACCCGTAAGGCCCTCACCACCATGGAGCCCGCGAGCTCCGCGGCTTGCTGCCACTGCGCGCACTTCTCGCAGGCGCTGATGGCGGTGCCGAAGCTCACCACGTCGGGCTGTGCCGCGAACTCGGACATCGTCCTGGACGTGGAACGTGGCAAACGGGGCAACTGGCCTCATTGCTTTACCATGATCAAAGTCACAAACGACCCAACGCGGCTTCACACCCCACACGACCACATCTCACCCCGCCGCTTGGCACATCGCTCACCCCACAACAACCGCATCTCACCTCACAAGCAATCAAAAATGCGCGTTTATGCTGCAACTGCCTTGTCCGGCGCGTTCGTGCCTATGTGTTTTCAAATTAGCCCCAACTTGTTTTAATCATGCTCGAATCGTGTCCACAAACACTTGGCACACCACACATGCGCTGCCATGTTGCTAAGTTCTTTGTTCATAGCCACCCCTGTGCGTTATAAGCAACAACCTTCCAACAAACAGCTGACAACCTACCTCCAGGGCTGGTTTGCGCCTACATTAGCCTCTGCCTGTCTGAGCTAGGTTGCGAGATTAGAAATTGTTTGAACCACAAACACTTGGCACACCACAATTCGCCAACATGCGCTAACATGCGCTAACATGCGCTGCAGCGTTGCTAAGTTCTTTATTCATAGCCGCCCCGACGTCGCCCAGCAGCCGGTCCAGGTGTGGAGCCAGCCACGCCTTGCTTCCCATGTATTTCAGACGCATGCCGGCCTTTAGTCTTATCACAGAAAACTCTGGGAGTGATGCTGTAAATACCGCATCTCTCCCAGTCTCGCCGCCCGGCTTCCCGGCTTCGAATTTGGGAAGTAAGGCAAAAAGGATACGCGTTATAAGCAACAACCTTCCATTTAAAACAACCAACTATCGCTCAACAAGCGCTTGCCCCATGGCACACTGCGTGTCACACGCGCTTCAACCCCAACGTCACCCAGGTGTACCTCCAGCGGCCGCGGGCTGGTTTGCGCCGATGTGCTTTCACCTTAACTTCTACCTGTCTGAGCTAGGTTGCGAGGAACCTTGTCCACAAACGCTTGGCACACCACAATTCGCCAACATGCCTAACATGCGCTGCAGCGTTGCTAAGTTCTTTGTTCGTAGCCACCCCTACGCGTTACAAGCAACAACCTTCCAATACAAACAACCAACTATCTCTCAACAAGCGCTTGCCCCATGGCACACTGCGTGTCACACGCGCTTCAACCCCAACGTCACCCAGGTGTACCTCCAGCGGCCGCGGGCTGGTTTGCGCCGATGTGCTTTCACATTAACTTCTACCTGTCTGAGCTAGGTTGCGAGGAACATTGTCCACAAACACTTGGCACAACACAATTCACCAACATGCGCTAACATGCGCTGCAGCGTTGCTAAGTTTTTGTTCATAGCCACCCCTATGCGTTGTAAGCAATAAATCTTCTGAACAAGTGCTTCCCCCATGCTTCTTGCTTCTTTCTTCTTTCTTCTCTCTTTCTCTTGCTTCTTTCTCTTTCCCTTATTGCGGTTCTGAGAGCCCTGCGCCTGCCACAAGACCTGCGCTTGGCCTTCTAGAAGCACTGTGCCTGTCACGGAATCCGCGCCTGACCTTTGCCAAAGTGCTGCACCTGCCACGAAACCTTGCGAAAAAGGTGCTCTAGCCAGCCAATTTAACGAGGTCTAAACGAGGTACTATCGAGGTCAAAACCAGGTCCAAACGCGTTGCACAGACTGGCCCTGGCCAGCACGGCCTGTTCGGACACAATCCTTCCTTCACGTGCCTTGGAGCACGTGCATCTGCGTGTGTGAGAGATTGTGCCATGCGACGAGCAACATCAAAAGCTGTAACTTCTATCAAGGCACACCCTACTGGCACACACCTGAACGACACAAGAAACCAAACTCCCATGTGTTAGTTGACTTCACCTTCTCAGTACCTTGGCCAGAGGCAGTGCGCCATTGTGTTTTGTGACGGGAGTGGGCCTCAACATTCAACAGCGCCCCTTCCGATGCCCCATGACACCCCAGACCCTTGGCTTCGTGCGCGGTGGCGGCTGGGGTAGCACGTGCTTCATCAGCAACATCTAAGTGAAACGAGTGTGCCCATGAGATTTGTTTCAAAGTGGCTTCATGCCATACATCCATCAATGACAGCATGATCATGACTCTAAATAGCTTTCCCCACTGGCACACCGCTTGCCGCACGAGATCATGTCTTGCGGGGCGTGTAACAACAAGGACCCAGTAGGTGGAAGTGGTGGATAAAAGGGAAACAACCCGAAACCGTCAAAGACAACAGAGGGCACGTGGAGCAACCGAGGGGAAGAAGCTTTGGGTCAAAGAGATGGAAGGGGCACATGGAGCAACTGGCCTGATTGACCATGATCCCCGTAAAAGTGCTGGGTTGAAAGGAAACAACCCGAAACCGTCAAAGACAACAAAGCAACAGAGGGGGTCAGAACCACAGAAAACGGTCAAGTCAAAGACACGGAAGGGGCACGAGCAACCGAGGTGGGACTGAAGAAAAAGTAATGGGTCCTCAAGAAGGCGGCAGCTAACTGCCAGTTGCTGCCTCTTTTGCATGCACTGATCGCCGCGTTGAAGCCTGAACGGGGCAGGGGTGGGCAACAACAGCGAGTTGAAGTGAGGTACATGTAGGTGGGCAAGGCCGCATTTGACTTGCACACGTGCGAGCAAAGCTGCTGATCTTGTCGGGCATGACCCGGGCGGAAGGCATGGACTGCAGCAAAAGCAAAGCTCGCTGCCACTCTTTGCCTAGCAGTAGGCAGCATGTCTCTCCTCTTGTCCCGTGAGATCATGTGATGAGTTTACAACATGTCTGCACTTGGCTGGAGAAGGACGCCCTCAGTTGTCAGGCATCCAACCCGATATCAACCAAGTTCCTGCATAGCCTTACCATATTTCACAGGTTGTTATATGGCATTGCTAGCCAGGCGCCATTCTTTGCAAGCCTGCTAGCACGCAAGCCCGCCAAGGTCACAAGCGGGCAAAACATGGCATGGCGCCTGCTTCGCAGGCAGTCATTGCTGCATTCCAGGCAAAGACCTCACTGCAGCCCATTCTCGCAAGTGTACGGAAGCCCTGCATGTAAACCTCAAACCTTGCCAGCCGGGCGCTGACTCCATAGTTGACAGTTGCCAACCCTGAAAACCACAGAGGTCTGGAACGGCAAAACCACGGCAGGCTCTCTCAGGGGGCCCGTTGGGCCAACAGTCCCTTGTGGGCCATTAACACCCGGCCCCAAGCCCTGGATGCCGAGATCTTGAAAAAGGTTACCATAGAAACCCCTCGGAGCAAAGCGGAGAGTTTCCAATAAGTTATAAGATTTACAAGTTGGAGCACGAGCCTTTCCTCTTGTAGCTTGTAAATTTGGTATTTCTCCAAAAATGCGTCTGTTCTCAAAAAGAGTTTCCAAAACCAAAGGGATTATTTCCCCCTTATCTATCTCTCTCTCTCTCTCTCTCGCTCTCTCTCTCTTTCCTCTTTTTCTGTCCCTGTCCCCTTCTCTCTCTTTTTTTCTCCTTCATGTTTATCCTCTAATTTATCTTGCCTTTTTCTCCTCCTTGTCTTTCTCTTTCTGTATCTCTTGTTGGTTCTCCTTCTCTTTCTCTTTCTTCGTTCTCTTGTTCTTTCTCAGCCTTTATCTTCCTCGTCCTGTCTCTTTCTTCTCTCGCTCTCTCGCTCTCGCTCCTCCAGTTGCGTGAGCCAAGTGAAAAGAAAAGGTCGACCCACCCATAGCGCGCTGGCAGTTGATTTTTGAAGGTTGCGCAACAGTGCGCACTCGCACATGCTGGCTCCTCCATGCTTTCGGCCCAGTGCCATAGTTTCTCGTGTGTTCCGCCTTGTTCGACGCTTTTTCACGCAGACTGCCTCTCCAGTTTTCAAGATCACACAGAGATGCACGCATGCTGGGAGAGGGCTAGAGCAATTAGTTCCAGTACTGCGGAAGCCTACTCTTTGATAAAAATACTCGTAGACCACAACAGGCGTTTCTAATCGTGTAGTCAAATGAAGCGTTCAGGGCCCCTGAGATTCACCTCGGTCACTGCCAGGGCAATGGTCAATGGTTCAAGGTCATGATTTGGCCGACTTCTCAAAACTCGACGATAATCCCCGCTTGATTGCGGCCAAAGCAAGGGCAGTGGGGTGGAAAGCACGGCCAAGAACCCGGCCAAGGCAAATCGTTTTGTCCGTGAGACAGGGGGTCCACAGAAACATTTCGGGCTCTACCCAAATTCGACATCTTTGAAATCAAGCTGGGCAGCGTGGATCCCAAGCGCCGAAAAAAACAAAAAAGGACATTGCTGTTGGCAAATGCCCATCAACACCTCGGATTTCCTGCGGCCTAGGGAGGCGGGAGAGAACTGGCGGCGTGTTACATCCTTGTCGGCGTCAAGGTTCCAGGTGCCATGATCAGGCACGCGCCACTGACAACTCAGTCAGGTGTGAAGACACTTCAATACAATCAAAACGATCATAGTCCAAGCCAAACAAGTTCATCAGCAAATCTGATAACCAGAACATGGTCACAGATCGCTGCTGCAACTTGCGCTGCTCGTCCAAACACACTACAGGGTTTTGACCGTTGCACGTTTGGGTCTGCCTCAAAATCGAGAAACGCCAAAAGCGAGTTTTGATTTTCGGTTGGGCACGGCTTAAACAATCCCAACAGAATCCAAGAGGGTTTTAACGCATGAACCAGGCGCCCACATTTGCTGAGAGTTTGGATGGTTCGCATGCACTGCACAGCTGTAGCTTCACCCGAACTCTGCAATCCGTATGGGGCATGGAAACCAAGGACTCAGGATCGAGCTCAGCATTCGGCAAGCGAGTCTGAGAATCAGAATCCCATTTTGACAAAATCCCAATCTTTTTCCCTGTCCAACCGTCCAAACAAAAACCCGCGTGAGCCGCACCACCCTTCGCTGTGAGTCCCCGCGGTGGGCTCTGCCAGCAGCTCGGGGCGCTGAAGAAGGCGCATGGCCCGCGGCCACTCGGCCGCCCGCGCCGCTGCGTTGACTGCGACGCCTCGAATGGCACTGTCACCTCCTCACTTCCAACGAGTGGATGGCCCAAAAGCGTCCCCAAAGTTGTTAGTTGGCCCAAAAAAGTCCAAGCTGTTTATTTACCACTAGTTAAAATGGCCCACAAAAGTCCCCACAGTTGTGATATATCCCCACAAAGTATAGTCCAGGAACTCAGGAAGTGAGTTTCAGCGATCAAAGCAAAAGCAACACAATAGCCGTTAAACAGCGACCAAGGCGCGACAATAGTCATGCCCTTTGATCCGGGAAACAAATCTGCCAAAAAGGTTCCTGGTAGCCACTCCAAACTGCAGTCCAAATAAAAATAAAAATGTACAACCACTATATGATGTCCAAATAAAGATTGGATGTACAACCACTATATGATATGCAAGCCACGAGCAAACAATACTGTTACCCTGCTGGCATGGAAAAAGTAGTGGGTCCCCTTGTTTTGCTGTGACATGTTGTGTTAATCCCCATGTGTCCTTCACACATGGCGGAACGTTTGACCGAAATCCATATGGAACACTATTAAAGGGAACCCGGCCAGGGTGGTCCTGTTGAACCCTGTTTCGTGACCAGTTTGGTTTCGTACCTCCTAGGGGAAGGCAAGGAGAAGCCCTTCACTGTTGGGGGGGGGGGCACGGCAGGCTGAAAATGACCACCCTGCTTGCGGTTCAAGTGTGCAAACAGGTTTGGGGCATGGTTGCAGATTGGTTGGATGTATTGGGGAGGTAGAGAGGATATTGGAGCAGTGCATTAGCTTGAGTACTGCTGACAATTAAACTGATACGAAAGGAGTAAAAGAAACACAAAAGCACCACCAACGAAGCAAGCACACGCACACACGCACACGCACACGCACACACGTACACACGCACACACGCACACACGCGCACACGCACAAGCACACGCACAAGCACACGCACAAGCACACGCACACGCACACGCACACGCACACGCACGCGCACACGCACGCGCACGCGCACGCGCACGCACGCACGCACGCACGCCCACACACGCACACACGCACACACGCACACACACGCACACACGCACACACACGCACACACACGCACACACACACACACACACACACACAGACAGAGAGAGAGAGAGAGAGACACGCACCCACCCACACACACACACACCCACACGCACACGTACACGCACGGGAACAGGCACACGCATCACACAGCTAGCTTCGCTGGCATCACCAACCAGAGTCGCTGGCGTACCAACTTGGGACAAATGTTGCCAACTTGGATTTGTGTTTGGTTGGGGTGCTTTGTTTATGTTGGTTTAAGTGGAAGATAAACACCGTCAGATTGGGGGTCATTTATTGACACACAGCCCAATGGTTGTAGGTTGTGTTCCATCAAACATGGCTTGAGATAGAGGTCTCCATCTCCTGAAGCCTTGAACTGAGGCTGGCGGGTTTCTTTGGGGGAAGCCAACCAAGCAAGGGATTTGAAGGTGAAATCACCAACATCGCCGGCAAGTAAATCAGGCTAGAAAGCCACTAAAATTGTGGAGAACCCCAGCTGTTCAACACCTTGCCAACGTCCATCGACCTAATCGCTTTCTGTCACTCCTGTCTGCCTTTTGGTATGACAACCGTGGTCAGTGTCAAGGTGCTAATGTGGATGGAGTTGACCTGGACTGCCCTCGCATGCCTGGCATGCCCAGTGCCGGCATGGCTTTGACGGCCAAGAATCACAGAACCGCTCTATTTCTACCTCGGGCTCGGTCTCTCGTTCTCCCCTCCACTCTCTTTTTGCTCTCCTCCTCTCTCCAGTCGTCTCATGTGTTGACAGCAGCTTTCTCATCTTTCGCTGTCCCTTTCCCTGGTCCACCCGGCCATGTCAGGGTCTTGCTGCGGTCTGATATTCAACAGCATCTGCTGCTGAGTTCCTCTTCCCCTACCATCTGTCGTTCCTCTGAGTGTTTGCGGCGTAAAGCCTGCGTTTGGTCGAGGCCTCTTCGAAGGCAGAGGCGTCTGCTCCTGCCCACCCCTGTGTCATCGAAGTCAGGCTGGATAGTGTGTGTGTGTAGTTCGCTCAGTTTCTGCTATTTCAGCTTGGCTTTGCCAGCTTTTGCTCGCGAAGCTCTTGGCATGGTCTTGCTTTCAATGGGGTCTGAAAAGCACCACCCCCCCCCCAACCGTGCATACCGCAAGCTGTAGGATAGTATGGGTCGGCCAAATCAGCCTGTCTGTCTTGAGGTAGTGCCCCCACCGGGCCCGAAAAAAGTGCTTGAAGCGCCTGAAAACAAAGATATGCCAAATCACAATGTTAACAACACCTGTCAGGACCAAACATCAACAAACGCAATAAAACAAACATGTCCAGACCAAACTGATTCGGTGCACACACATACAGCATCCAAGCTCAAGTCCGACATTTGCGCTCTGAAAGCCCTAGGCTGTAAACTTACACCAGTATGGACCCCCAAACAAACACACCAACTCCTGTGCTAGCATCCGGGATCAACTTGCAACAGCACCACCCAAAGATCTGGCAACGTTCACCAACACCAGTGACAGCAAAACAGCATTACTTCACCCTGGTCTCGGAGATCGGGGACCACCCCCCGCTCATGAACAAAGAGGATCCCTACAGCTTGCAGCTATCCAACAAGATGAGTTTCAAGGAGACCGGTGCAAGCGAAAACAAAAAAACATTGTGACTGCAATTCGTTTGCTAGGTGCATAGCTTCCAGCACTTGCATCGCCAGCTTCGGCTGCCTTGGTGCATTTCTTCCCCCTTTAGCTGGCAGGTAGGGAATTTCGACATGGAATGAACCCAATCCCAATCGCTCCCGAGAAAGGAAACCACTCCAGTTGGATAGTTGTTCGAGGTCATTCCATGTCTCATCCCCTGATTGCACCAAGATAGTTGTGACTCTCCGATTCAGCGACTGGGCCATGGGCGCCCTCTTCGCCAGAGCGCTTAGAACCACCGTGGCCTGGGATACGGAAGGCCATTCCTGGACTCGAACGGTGGCTTGGCCCCTGAACCGTTGGACCTGCAGAAACGGCTAGAAACAGGAAACCCTGAAACGAAGAGGGGATTCAGTTCAGCTCATGGCTCTGCAATGGCAGCTCTCTTTCAAAGGTGGTCGGCCGCCTTCGTGGTTCAGCGAGTGAACCTTCAACGGCTACATTTGCGAGCATTCCCATTTTTGTCCGTATGGGCCCCATGTCAGGCAAAATGAAACTGATAGGAGCTGCTTCAATGAGTGTGGCCCGTACATTGGTCCTACATACTGGAACAATTGGGCTGCCCTTGAAACTAGGGACCCCCCCCCCCCCCGGCAAAAGCGTTTCTGTCCGCGCCCCCCGCCTTTTTGGGCTGCTCCCTCCACCCAGCGAAGCCCGGCTCAAGGATGTCGAGCACCTGCGCTTAAAGACCCCGCGTGCCCGAGACAACCTTCAGGTTCGTTTTTGGAAGGATGACCCAGGACTTGGACTGTGAAAGGTGAATGCCAAACCCAGCATTCACCAACACAGGGGATTGTAGCGAGCCAATGGGTGACCTTTGAACCGGCCTCATCAAGAGTGGGGTCCCTGAGCGCATACAACTTGTCCAGCCCAGGCTTGCCATTCTGTGGCCCATTCCGCCCAATTGGCCCATGCGCCGCGAGACCCCTGCACATCTTGAGCCAATTCTCAGTTGTCGCCGCACGCAGGAACCGCTCGTGACAGCTTGTGACAACTTGTGACAAGTTCCCCCGGGGCAATCCGAGAAATTCGCAAGCACGTCTTGATGTGTCCAAACCTGGCTGCCTCGTGGCAAACTTCGAGCAAGAGACAAGTAAGGTTAAGCTGACCAGCACGGCCACGCCCACACATGGGCGTAACACTGACATCCACCACACGAGGCGCGCATTTTTGCCTCAGAACCAGAAAGCCAAGGACATGCCGCCCAGGGGGATGCATGAATCTCTCCAATAGCTCTTTGAAACCTGCACTCTTGATGGGCATGTTCTTGGCCGCATGTCGGCAAGGCCGAAAAATACAGGGACCAACAGCCCCTGTGACTTCCTGTACTTTGCCAGATCTCTCTTCGACGCCTGGAAGTGTGAACCCCCAGCTGCCGAACCCTCAGTGCCGTGAAACCCTGGGAGCTGGCCCCTGCTCTCAGGTGGCAGGACCGCTCCCAAGAAACAAGGGAAGAATTGCGGTGGATGCCGTGGCTGGCTGAAATCCATGTGGTACTGCAAGTGAACATGCGACACGTCAGCTTGCAACAAGTGCATGGAGATTTCTTCTGAAAAGGGCAATTCCCTGAGTCAAATGACAGAATAAGATACACTTTTTGAATTGTTCGCTTCCCTAGCGATATCCCGCCACAAAATGACAAGCATGAAGCTGGCAGATATGTATGGCAAGCCGGGCTGGATTGAAGGTTGTTCTGGCTGATGGCCTATTGGCCAACGACACGAGTCAAAAACGCATTCCGCCACTTGGCAGCATCCACAACCTGGTAATTCGGCCTCCCAAATGTGCCGGCTCACACTGATTGGGTTTCAGCCAACTGAACTTGCGTATTTCCCATCTGTGAGCCCAGCAACGTTCAGGTAGTCCGTGCTGACGGGGAGGGGTTCCTCCTTCTGCAAGGCACAAAACATAGGGGCATGGCTGGTCTAGCTTGCAGTGCTGGATGCAAGTGCGGTCTACGGCCGAATGTTAACCTGCATCCAGCTACCAAACTGCGCCAAATGCCCACACCTGACCTAAGAGTGTCGATCGCTGGGGTCACCAAGGTTCAGCCAAATGGTAGCTTGATTGAGCAGGCAACCAACCCGGTACCGATACAGCTGAATCCTCAAGTCTGTCCAGTACAAAAGGCACGGCCCTTCTTCTGTGCTGAAAAATGCCACATGTATAGACATTCGACGTATACTTGTTCAGACGGTTTCCCACAAAAAAGAATAATTCCTCCATTGGCACCCTTGAGTCTGCCCTCGCGGGCGGAAGTAGAGCTCAAGATTCAAGAGTGCTGGAAGACTCATTAGGTGACTGTTAAATGCTGGCTCCTTCCATCCCTAAAGGCTGGAAGAATTGTTTGAGTTGTGTTTTTGCAGTGCTTGAATGCCTGAGAGCAACCGATCTCAGGCAGCGCGTGCCCAAGAGCAACATCGGGTTTCAGGGTTCAAAGGTAAAGTCCGCCACATGCTAAAGCAAACGCTGTGGAGGCTTTGGAAGGACATGCCACTGGCTCTGCCAAGTTCTCACAATGGATCTTCGAACTCTTTAAGCTGTCAGAGCGGGGATCTTGGTCTTATAGTTGCATCTGGGGTCTACGTGTTGAACCCTCCACACTGGGTGCCTGCTTTTTGGCCTCTCTCAAGAATTCCATGCTTCATTCTCGTGGTTCGGTTCATCTGGGAGCCCGCGACTGTTGAAATGTTCTGACGGGATCCAACAGTAGCCCCTTCCAACAATCGCCTACCCCCTCTTCCGAATCCAATTCTAGGACAAACACCAAACCCGCCCTGTGGGGGCTTGGCGAGTGGGGGGGTTGTCAAATTATGTCAAACGTTGCACGGCAAACGTCAAATGTAATTCGGCTTATTCAATCTTGAATCGAGATGCACAGAATTTGCACAAACACACAAATTATAATCTATACCTGCGAATGCAAAGAAACTCTAACATGCCCAATGTTCACATCTCATTCGCCGGGGAAAACCGACCCTGAACCTGAACACAGCTAGTTGCACTCCCCCATTGAAGTGCACAACAGTCTACTCGGGAGGGTTTTCGGTATGGGTTTTGGAGGTATGGAGCTTACATTTCTGTACCACTCAGACAAGGGATGTATGCTGCGTTGCTGGCGTTGCGTGGTAACAGCAGCCATGCCTCCAAACTCAACCCATGCCTGGAAATGACCTTGGCACTCGAAAGGCCACGGGATTGCTGAATCATGCTAACTGCTAAGTCAAAGTTTCAACCCCGGTGACCGGCCAGCATCAATTCTATGCCACCAAGGGCCACAGCCTCAAACGATGCTGCCTGAAACGTCTGAGCTCGCGTTGCTGTCGAAAGCACTGCCTCAGGGCGGCTGCTGCAAACCCCGGCAATTCACTTGAGGGGCTCAAGCCAAACTTGCCACGAACCAACAAAAATCGAGTCGTGCAGCGCAGGGATGAACATCAGCGCTACAAAGTACCAAGCCCAAACAAGGAGCACAGCATGATGCGCTAGGTCACATGCCCTCATTGTGGGTTTCCTTTTGGCTTCCCAAGACCGCAAAAAAAGGGGTACCCATGGTACCCTCCAAAAAGACCTCCCCAAAATTTGGAACCCGGGTTGCCCGGGACTCCACACGTTACCCGATGTAGTGTTTTGTCTGGGTCATGGTAGGTGTTGCTTGAACATGCAAACATATTTCCCGGCAACCCGATTCGCCAATGAGCCGCCACAATAAACTTCGACATGCCCCTCAACTGCGTCAGCAAAAGGGCAAAGAGTCAGGACGTGGCATGAGGTGATGCTATGCACGGAGCTTCTCGGTAAGGTTGTCACTAAGCCAAGCACGAAAATGGCCCGAACGTCAAAGCGGCACACATGACTGCTTAGCCCCATTGTGAGAAACCCACTCTTGCGACCAGCTCTCACTCGACTTGGGATTTCTGGGCTTCCCCGACTTCGACTCGTCCGACGAGCTTGAGGCCCCATAATGGCCGATGGTGGCACTTTTGCCGCCTTGGAGACCTGGCGATGGCACGGATCGATGCGTCGCATGGTTCGGGCCAACGCGGATGCCCGCGAGCGCGCGGCGTGCACTGCCAAGTTCGCGTGAAGGCACAAGGAACATCCGCGAGCCAAGCCCCGGCAACACCAGGCGTACTGAGAAAGGGAGAGCTGCCAAAGGAAGTCAAAGAGGCAAAAGGTCAAAGAGGCATTTGTTGTTTGCATGAGGTACTCTGGCGTACTTTGCGAGCTAGTTTTTTCCTGTTCCTCCAATGTTCTTCTCTGGCATGCGCCCAAGTCTGACCATGTCTTCAGCGTAGATGGCGGCATGCGCCAGACAAGGGGCATGGCCAAGAGACGCAGCTAACGCCAAAACTGGATGAGCTTCTCCTCGCAAGGCTGGAGCCAGAACGATCGGTGATGCTCAATGTCGGTTCTTTGCGCCTGGTGAAAGAACAAGCAAGCTGTTCAATGGAGACGCCTACGCGAGCTTCCCAGCCCATCGCGTTTGTCCAGGGGTGTAGCAGTTTCGCCTACGCGGACTCTGTTATGTCCACTTTCCTTTTCGCCGTCGACTGCTATTCAACAAAACCGGTCTATTCAACAAAACCGGTCAACACACATACGAACAAAACAAGCTTACACGCTGACAAAACTAACTAACCCGGCTAAGCAAAGCAAAGCAAGCTGCCGCGTGAATCCCCAGCACGCTGAAAGTATATTCTTTATGGTTGACATTCAGTCAATGTCATTCAGTTCTACATGTGCTCCAGGCAAAGCTTCATGGGCACACGGCACACGGAAATGCCCTTTGCAACTCTGCATCTGGGGCCCCCACCAGCTCGCCAAGGACGGGGCTATGCTCCAAGTCGGTGTCGCAAGTGGACTGGGATTGGCACGTGCACGAGCACACACACACACACACACCCACCCACCCACGCACGCAGGCACGCACTCACCCACACACACGCACACACCACACCTGTGTGTTCCTTGCCAAGGTGCCATTGAAGACCACACCGACATCGTGTCATCTTGCTTGACAAGGGCCCGGTGGGTGGCCACCAATTCAAGGAAGAGGTCTGCTTTTACCTTCAGGGCAGAGCGTGGGCCCAGTGGGCTCAGCGCGAAATGAAATGATTACTGCCCAAGGCTGATGGTCACCTGGCGCGTTCAGAAGCTTGCCATGCAAGCAAAGCCTGGATCAAGCAAGTTGCCCAGTTGGCTTCCTTTTTTCTCGGGTCATGTCCAAAGACATGATCTTTTCTTGTCAAAGCCGGGGTTTCCGAGGGGACCCTGTTTGTTTGTCTTTGTCAAGCCCACTTTGCTAATTTGAAAGCAAGCCAAGCCCGTCTGTGACAAGGATAATGCTGCTATGTCAGTTCCTTCTGGTCCTTGCGGGACAGCCGGAGCAGACCCCACTTGGCAACAAAAATGTGGGCGTTGAGGAGGGGCTCATGTAAGCAGTGCTGAAAAGGGCTGAGCTTGCAAACGACGTGGTAGTGCCATGTCTGGTTTCGAGACCCGGCTATGACTGCGCCGGCGGACCTTGTGGTAGTGATCCAAAACTTCTGCCGGGCCTGGCAAAGCGCAAGCCAAAAGCAAGCCCCTAGGGCTCAACCCCCAGTAAAAGAAAGGTTGACCCAATTTGGATGATGACAATCCTTAGGGAAACAATGGTGGTTATATGAGCCCCCGTTGTTTGAATGGTGGTTTGAATCCCAGGGAAGCTACTTGCCGCAAAAGAAGAATCGGCCTTCTCTCTGGAGCCGGCTACTAAGCTGCGCCATCTGCTTCTGAATCATCTGCATCTCCTTTCTTGCCAGCACATCTGGCAACTCTGGCTCCACCACCATCTCGTACTCATCTTCATCTGCATTGTAATCGTCCAACGCATGGGGTTCTCGAGGGCGGCGGTGCTCAAAGCCTTCTTCCTCGTCCTCACGACGAAAGAAGCGAAAAAAACAATGG